CCTCAGCCTCCAGAGTAGCTGAGGTTAGAGATAAGTGTCACCATCATTTCTTCCTTCATTTCTTTTTGTGGCCCAGTAGTTTTTTGATTTTTGGTTTTTGGGTTTTGGTGTTTTGTTTTGTTTTGTTTTGGTACCATAGATCAAACTCCCAAACTCAGGACCTTGCGCTTGCAAGGCAGGCAGTGGAACCACCGAGCTAAATCCCCAGCCCTGTATGTTTCTACCTTCAGGCTATGTGAATGCTGTCACTAAGAACATTCATGCACATGTTTTTATTTGAACACTATTTTCATTTTTTAGGGATTATACTTAGGAGTAGAATTACTGATACTATTGTACTCCATGCTGGACATTTTGGGAAACTATCAAGCTGCTTTCCAAATTGGCCACACCATTTAAAAATCACACCAGCAGGATTTGAAAGCTTTATTTCCTCCACATCTTTGCCAATATTTGTTATGTTCTACCTTATTTTAGCCTTGCTAGTGAGTATGAAATGAATTTCACTGTGGTCAAGTACTTTGCCTGATTTTAAATTAGAGTTTTCTAAAAGATTGAGTTAAAAATGCTTTATACATTCTGGATGGAAGGCTTTTATCAGATATATGAGATGGAAGTATTTTCACCCATTTGGGTTTTTTTTTCATGTTTAATTACATTTTAGTGTTAACATCTGCAGTTAAGGTTTGGACTTTTTAAAAATAGGAAATCATTAAATAAAATAAGAAATCATTAAATAAAAAACATACTAAGATCTTTAAAAGGCAAGTATTGAATGAGTATGCAAAATACATTCCATGAATATACAAGGCACTTAGTAATCTACGAGAGTAACCTAGGTCAGCCCAGAAATGGGGCTCCTACAAATTTCTGATTGTTAAAAGATTATCACATAGCTGAAATATAGAATAGGATCTGTATTTTCCTTCCACTTTTGTGTGAAACAAAGAATACACAGGCTCAGGAAATTTACTCTAGAGTGCCAAGAAGGAACTTAACAGCCTTCTCTCTAATTGTACACCTGGAACTAATTCATTTTATTTATTTCATAATGATGTCCTATTTTCAAAAAATTCTATGCCAAAGTAGTAATGTGCTGTAATTTATTCATTTATACCTTGAACAAACATCTGTGTGTCACTAATACATACAGGCACTGTTTGTTTGGCATTACATAATGTGTATATTAATTGATTCAGTCCAATTAACATACAAAATGTCAACCATCAAATCAAGATTTACAGCATACTTTAAAGGTGATTGTGAAACTTTTGTAAAAGATATTTTCCCCAAATTATTTAACTTTCTTTAACTTAGAAATTTTATAAAATTATAGAATACATTCATGAAGAATTTTGCAAAACTAGTGGTTATTTTTATTGACCTTTTTTGGAACTATATTTAGATAATTGAATAGAATCAGTTTGAATTTTAAGAGTAGCAGCTTGAATGACAGACCAGAATTTTTGCACAGTGGTTATGGGATTTTAAAATTATGGAATTTTAAAAGTCATTATAAGAAATACTATCTGGGCTGGGGATTTAGCTCAGTGGTTCTGCAGCCTGCCTTGCAAGCACAAGGACCCAAGTTTGATCCCTTGTACCAAAAAAAAAAACCACAAAAAAAAAAAAAAACTATCCTTCTATACTTACTTTATTAATCTTTTTATTTTAATTTCTAGAATATTTCAGCTCTATAGTACAGTAAACTAAAATATGAATATTACATGTTAAAAGCCTTCATTGGCAAATTCATTGTCCAAACTATCCTTTAGGACAAATTAATAGAACTTGAAGGTGATTTTTTAAACTGATTTTTAATTTCCTAAATATTCTATAGAGTGAAGAATTAAAATGAATACCACCTAAAACACAGTCAAAATCTACATACCTTTTTCTCAGATTTTATAATTGAGAAGGTATTTCATTTTCCTTTTACAAATTAATGTTATTAAAAAGAACAATTATTTTAAGCATTCAGAAAAGTAAAATCCCAAATACTGCTGTGTTTCTTGTCATTCTCTCCTCCTGCCTCCACACTGCCTCCACACGTGAAGGGTAGGGGAAAGGTAATAAGGGAAAAGAAAAAAATATGAAAAAATGAAAAAATGGAAATGAAGTGTTTGTAAATGGGGAGGATAAGAGGGGGTGAAGGGAGGGCAGAGACAGGGGAAAAAATGAGAACCAAGACCTGTCATGTAAAGGTACAAGATCCCAATGATGAATGTAACTGTACTGCATACCTAAAATGTACCAATAAACTCAATGAGGAAAAAAAAAATACAGGCACTATTCGTAAAGGTAGAGGGTCTGCAACACACAGGAAGTGCCCGGTAACCCCCCCCCACACACACACACCCAGACAAGGGCACTGCTGTGAGTAAACACTCATTCCTCTGTAAACACAGGAGCAGATGCCAAGTTCTAGGCATTGTGTTAGGCAGTGGGACCATAGGAAACAGTAAGGCAGATAAATGCTGCTAAGCATCTCTTCATACGTGTATTGAAATATCCAGAATAAAGCAATTCCAACTGGGTCTGGAGTGCGGGGCCGGACAAACCCTCAACACTTCTTATCTATGACACAGTTTCACATTCATTCCACAAACACTGAGCAAAGTACAAGGCGCAAGAGCTAAGACAACCAAACAGCTCATGAGCTAGAAAATAAGGAGGGAGACAAGGGACACAACAGCATGTGACATGTGCTCGCACAGAGCTCCAGAAATCAGGCCCCAGCCTTGATATGGACCCATGAGCCAGGAGCATGGCAGGACTTGGAACCCTGCAAGCTCAGAGAAGGAGCACAGGCCCCAGCCAGGGAACGAACCATGCTCTTAAGGAGCCTCGAGGTGAACCAGTGTGAAGGGCAGGTCACTGTTACGGACCCCACTAAAAAGCAGAGACTTGGGTGGAAGGGACAAGATGTCTCAGGCTGTAAGGGCTGGAATCTAGCCTGTATCACCACAGCTCTGTCCTCTAGACCACTGCTTGTAAGATGATAGCAAATGTCCAGTGATGACTATAACTGTATTGTATACCTAAAATGTACCCCCAAAGAAAACTATATATATAAAGAGAGAGATGATAGCAAATGTGAAGAGGCCACCAACAAACAAAATCCATTCTGGAGTCATGTGATGAAATTCAGGATGTCCTCCATTGGAATAAAAACGTGGGTACTTGGACACATTCTGGAGTTAGCCTGAGAACCTATCCAGAGATAAAATCCTTAACTTCTCCATGGTATCCTGAAACATGTTTAAAGCAGAAGCAGCAGGCTGAGGAAATTAAATTATTTCAATCTTCAATTTTTAATGAATATAAGGAAATGAATAAAATAAGGTTCCTAAAATCAAGCTAGAAATAATGCAGTTGAGGCGGGGAGGCAAGTAGAAGTAATTATAGTATAAATTTGAATGTGCTGAGTATGATAAGTAAATTCTGCAGGTGGCTGGTGGCAGCGGTTGCGCAACAAATAATGATTTACTGTCCCTAAGGCTTTGGTGGCCAAAAATGGTGAAACTCATCAGCCGGAGGGACCCACTGAGCAAATGTCCAGAGGCCAATACGATGAGGACAGACCCACGGGCTGGTGAGCGTTTCAGCCTAGGGACTCAGACTGTAAGGTAGCCAGCAAATAAGGAAAGTACAGCAACAGCCATGGGTACACATGTGGCCACATTCCTGGAGACCAGGACAGGCTGGCAGTGGATCAGGAAGCTGTTCTAAAGCCCTGTGAACAGCCCTGGTGCCCGCATGAGAGAACTGGCAGTCAGAAGGAAGAGGGTGGGACCACTCCGGTAGCCCTGGAGAGGCAGGTGCTGTTTGTTTTGGTGACAGATGGGTGCCTGCACAACTGTGTGCTGGGGAGGGAGCACAGGGCCAGCAGTATCGCTGTTTGACTGTGCATCATTCTTACCGTTGTTGAAATCGGAAGCTCGTCTTCATTCCAAAAGAAAACATAAGTTATCAGAAATACGTCATGCTGGTCACCTGCCAGGAGAACTTCCTGACAGTGATGCCTGGAGGGAGAGTGACCTTCAGCATGCTTCTTTCTTACTGCTTGTATCCATTTCAGTAACCCCATCGGGTGAACCTCTGGGCTGGGGTGAGAATTGCTGCCGATGTGAAACAGGACTTGTACCGGAAGTGACTTAGAGATTCCAACTACCCAGTAGTCTCATTTATTCCAAGCAGTCCCAGATACCATCTATTCAGCCTCTAGGTGTCCAACACTCCTCGAGTTATTTGTGCTTCTAGATTTGCCATGGTGTAATGCTCGTCCAAGAAAGACAGGAACTGTAGAGAACACTATCTTCAATTCTGTCCAGAGAAAAAATAATGAAAAAAACCCACAAAGTACAGCTCTTCCTCGCTATAGAAATTGCACATAAAAACACCATATTTTTATAAGATGGAAACTTCAAGCAACATGAAAAAATACCACAAGCACAGTTTGCTTCTTTTTTCATTTTGCTGAAGTCTGGCAGAATATCCTTCTTCTTTGGGTCGCTTGATGAATTTGGGCATCTTCATAACTCACTCAGTTTCTCTGTGGGGTTATGGATGACTTTCTTATATAATCAACACTACTCTTCCTGAAAGAGTCAGGGGAAAAAAATACAAGTTTTAGATTCTGTATCTCGGTTGTTTTCATGGCCACATCAACCCTTCGGTGAAATGGTATCTGGAATAATTTGCTTGCTATAGAGAAAATTAACAGCTATGGATGATGTGGGGGTACCCCAGAATTTACAAGGTCGAGGCTGGAGTGTGTGTAATGAAAGCAAGAATTCTGTCTGACACAGTCTAAAAGGACAGGCTCAAGACCCATCCCGCCTAACCTTCATGTCTTTGTTCCTCAACATCAGTAAGACAAAAATAACTTCACTTAATCTGCTCAGGAAGCAGAAAGTAGGTTTGCAAACATTTGCTTCCAAGCCAAGTCTCATGCCAACACTGAATGCTCCACCATTTTGGTTTTTGTGTCTTCACAGAATTCTCCAAAACTCTTCTGCCCTAAAAACAGAAGCTTTGACATAGATGCCATCTACAGCGTGATAGATGATGCCAAGCAGTATGTGTACATTGCTGTCACAGACTACCTGCCCATCTCTACCACGAGCACCAAAAGGTGAGTGCCCCTCCTCTGGTGAGAACACAGACTCAGAGCCAGGGTGCCAAGGGGAAACCACCTGGACACTGAGGCACTACCCAGTTGCATCAGGAAGAGAGCACGGTTCAAGAATACTTGTGTGACCTGCGGTTTACCCATGATGCATCTCCTCCCCGGGTGTCCAGATTAAGGGCAAGGGGTCTCATTCTTCTGAAGTACCTCAGAAGTTCATGCTGCAGGCATGAGAGCAATTTCAGTAGGAAGGTTGGGTTGTTCTCACTTTGAAAGTTACTTGAGAAGAAAAATAAAATACTACATAAAACCCCCCAGGAAAGGCTGGGGGTACAGCTCAGCAACAGAGCACTTGCCTAGCATTTGTGAAGCACTGGGTTTGACCTCCAGTGGTTATTTTGCTTCCAGTGGCAAAATATATAAAACAAAATGAAGTAAAATAAAATATTTTTGAGATTTTATTATTTTTAAATTGTTAATAAGGTTGTTCCTGAAGGGTGTGCTAAATGAAACCTAAGGATCATTGCTTTCCTGTATGCTCAGGAGTCTTCGTTAAATTCTAATCTCTCACATATTTTCTCATTGTAAAGGAGAAATTCAAGGACATTTATAATGTAGATGTTTGCAGTCATTACATCTCTCTGTATGAGAAAAGCATCGGCATTATTTTCAGTAGTTCAGCATTGTAAAGCATGCGGGTACCTGCAGTAAATTGAGGGACACATTTGCATGTTTAAATGCATGCCCACCACCAGGTAGTCTCCCCTTGGCTCTCTTGCTGGGAATACTGTGATTTGAGTGCTTGCCAGTGTTTCAAATAATTACTTTAAACCCAGGAAATGTTTCCAAAATGTACATTTCTGGGAGTGCAACCCAAGACCTTTTTAATTTGGAAAATGGCAGTTTCAGATTCACATTCCTGAGGTTAAATGATTAAGTGTGTCCCATATTGCTTGAATAATTTTCAGATCTGCAACCCACATATGCATAATGTGTAACTTCTTTATGCAGATGACTGTCACATTGCATAAGGAGTCTACCGGGAAATGAGCATCCCTGACGACAGTCAGTGGGAAAGCATTTTAAATTGCAAGATGCATGTTATTAAAATGCTTTTACTTTGTAACAGCAAACATTTCACATCCTTTGAACATTCGTGGATTTTTTTTCCACACATGATCACAACTTTTCTCTCTCTTTTTGTTTCTACCATGTGTTGATTATTTGGTTTAAGATGTGGCTTTCGACCTCAAGCTTCACTCTGGGAAGCTGTTTACATATAACAGATTTTGCCTGATTTTCCTGTTATTGAGAAGAAGAGTTCAAGTTCATGCAGTTAGACGTTAGGATAGGATGATGCATGCTCGGGTTGGACAAATCCTCTGTTCCATGAAATCCTGTGGAACAAGGGAAAAGGAATCAGCATAGAAGATCTAAAATATCTTAGAAATATGAAAGAGAAAATTAAAAAACTGGACAGTCACCTAAAATTTTGTATCTTTAGTTTTTGGCTGTTGTTCAAAAGATACTTCTTTTAGAGTATTTTTAAAACTTCAAACCTATACTTTGAGCTTTCTCAACAAAAAGGTCATCAAAGAGAAGTAAGTAGGCCAAACAGCCAGCTTATCATTAAATTCTTCTCAATCATATAAAGATTTTTTTAAAATCTATTTAATAGCATTTACATAATCCTAGAAAAGTTTTTCAAGAGTGAATTCAATTTTAATTTTTTTTCTCATTAAGTTTGTTGGTACTTTTTAAGGATACAGTACAGTTACATTTATCATTGGGATCTTGTATCTTTACATGACAGGTCTTGGTTCTCATTTTTTTCCCCATACCCCTGCCCTCCCTTCACCCCCTCCACCCTCCTCTATTTATAAAGACTTTGTTTCCATTTTTCCCTTTTCTCATATTTTTTCTTTTCCCTTATTTCCTTTCCCCTCCCCTTCCCACTCCCCCTACACCGTTAGAACCTTTTCTTCCTATTTCACATTGTCAATTTTGCAATTTGGATCTTTCAATTTTAATTTTAGAAAGTACATACTACCATATGTTTGTGTGTTCATTAATGAATATCTTAGAGACTTAACTTTTAGTCTACTGCCAAATATCCAAATGAAAGAGAAAAAAGTTCACATACTCACAAATGAGCAGTCATTAGCGGCCTGGTAAAAAAGATTCTCCATCTTTTACTGATAGTGTTAGAATTTCTACTTTCCCAGGTATTTCACCATTAATGGAACAATGATGTGTGATTAAATAAATCCTGCAGTAAAGAGTAAAAGCCCAGTGTTACTTCCTCCTGCTACAGCAATGAAGCTCTTTCCTTAAGCAGTTCACTTAATTGTGTAGTCTCAGTTTGGTGTTGTCCATGATGTGTTTCTTCAGCCACAAGAAATGTGTCTTTCAGAAGAAAACCAATAAATGTCTGGAGGACCAATAAAAACAGCCTGATTGGTCTTTGAAGTTCACTTGTCTCCCTTGATGTGCAGTTTTACCTTCTGGGAGATCAGTTATCTGCAGGCCAGCTGTAGTTTAAAATTACTGAATGGGAATTTCTAGAAATAAGTGATTTATAAATTTCAAATAACTTGTATTATAGTCTATAGCTATGATTGTTCTATTTCAGTATACTATTGTTCATCTCTTCTTGCTCCTAATGTGTAAATTAAACCTTACCATCGATATGTATGTGTGTGTATAGGAACAGACATAGTCTAGGTAGAGTGCAGTGCTATAGGTAGTCTCCGGCATCCACCAGGTCTTAGAATGTATTTCCCAGGGATAAAAAGGACTGCTGTATTAATAACTTCCATTTACCAGTTCATTCAACAAATACGTGTTGAGTACCTGCACTTAGGACTGTGGCATGAATGCTTTATGGTCCACCTGTCAGGGGCAAGTAGACCCAGGTGAGATTATCAGAACAAGTGGTGAGAAGGGGGTGTGAGGGTTCTGTACAGAACATTGGTGGTGCTCATGAAAGGACACTCTGGTGCAGTCCCAGGGTTAGAGGAAGCTTGTTGGAGGAGACACTACCTGAATTATGTCTTAAAGTGTTCAAGAAATGGTCAGAAAAGAGTGAGGAAGGGAGTTTTCCCAAGTTTCAGGTGGAGAAAAAAGCTGGGCCAGCTGAAACAGCCCAAGGTAAGGTGGAAAGAGATCAAATTGGAGGGAGGGTAGGGACCAGGAACTGGGGGCTGGCTCCTGGGGAGTCTTGTGACACTCCAAGGGCTGACGTGACCGGATCTGCTGTAGAGGGATCACATTGTGGCCTGGAGGGTGCACTCGACAGGGGAAAGGTGGAGGCAGAAACCAGTTTGGAGCACAAGGCTGAGGTGATTTTTTTTTTCTCAGTAGTTCTCAGCTTTGTGGGCATAGAAATAGACAGAGAGAACTGTAACACAAGCCGCGATTTAGGTTTTCCTATAAGAAACGGAAATGGAAAGGACCAAGTGCCCTCCCTGCAGGTGACCACAACTGGAATTAGGCCGGGCAGGTAAGAAGAGCAAGAGGAGGCAAAGGGCCAGAGACAGTGGGGGCCCACGGATCTGTGGTCTCGTGGGATGAAAGGCCAGATCCAGTGTGATGAGGAGAGTGGGGACTTGATGGGCCAGAGGCCAGGGTCAAATAGAAAGAGGGGGATGACCTTTGTAGGTACAATGGTGGTGCCACCGACAGGCTAAGATTCTGGATAGTGTGTCGTGTGTTCATATAGTCGACTGCCCCAGATTTACACTGAGATTGGAATGAGTACAGAGAAGTCCTACACGTTCAGGGTCGATGGGAGGTACAGTGATTTAATGCTTAGTCCTTGGGATAGAGAAAGGATTTTTTAATTTAACAGGAGAACTAAGAGACAGTTCTGGAAGTGACACTGTTGTATGAGGGTGGGTAGAGCTGGAGGCTGCCCCCACCTCTCAAGCCAAGAGGCCAAGTAGCAGAAGAAGAGAGTATATGGCAAGACTTTAGGAGAAGCTATGGTCATTGAGAGAAATGGGATGCAGGTAGGGCAGAAGTCAAGGATCCGTGGAAGATGTGGCTGCAGAGGAAGCTGCTTGCCTGCGGGAGGAGTCCAAATGCTCAGCCCAGATTGGGCTGCAGGAAATTGGGGCGAGGGTGGAGGGTAGTGAGGAGAGACTCTGCTAAGGACAATCTGGAAATAAAGAGTGTGGGAACGTGCAGATACCTAGAGCAGAAGCTCGTTTTGGGACAGTATCCCAGGAAGAGAGGGTGTAGTGAGGTTGCATTTGGGAGCAGAGAGAGCATGCAGGGTTTCCAGCTGGGGCTTTGCTGCACAGTCGGTCTGTAGTGCACGTGTGGCCTCGGGCCCACGTGGCCCAGGAGGTGTGGTGAGAGAGGCCACAACTGGCCTGTCTGCTCCCTAGGCTACCCTGCTGGGCCCTGGGGACAGAAGACCTCCCGTTAGGCAGACACAGGTCCCGGGAAACTTTATTTGTTGGTATCTAACCCAAAAATCTTGCATTTTTTTAAGCCGGTCCTTCAAGGTTACTTATATATTACAGATGAAAGTAACAATCAGAGTAACATAAACATGCTCTGTCATCTAGTACATTTCTCTCCCCAAAGTAGCTTTGTTCTTTATTTCTATCTGTGTGACTGTTACTCCTGTAGGACTTATTGGCCAGACTTGGATGGGAAAATAAGAGAAGCACTGGTTTTGCGAAGCGTTAAAGTGCGGCTGCTCATAAGCTTCTGGAAGGAAACCGACCCCCTCACATTTAACTTCATCTCATCTCTTAAAGCTATTTGCACGGAAATAGCCAACTGCAGCTTGAAAGTTGTAAGTATTACACTGACTGTGTTATGAGATAAAAATCCCTTGCTCCTTTTGCGTGCCCCAGGGTCATAAGCATACACATATATGTACACTTCCAGCAGGAATTAGAATAACGGTCTTTGGTAGTAAAAATGGCTTCACAAGGCAGGGCAAGTTACTTCTCCAAACAGTTGCACCCATAAAAAGGGAAGTAGAGCTGGGCATGGTGGTGCACGCCTGTAATCCCAGCACTCGGGAGGCTGAGGCAGGAGGATTGCTGTGAGCTCAAGACCAGCCTGGGCTACATAGTGAGCTCCAGGTCAGTCTCACAAAAACAAAAACAAAAACAAAAAGGTGGAGGGTAGAAACCAGGCTTCCTCAGTCGAGCCTTCTTCAAACACACCTGCTGTTGCATCCATTTGGCATGAACTGCTTTATTCCCCTACCGTTCTCACTTGTAAGACTGTGACCCAACACTGGGAACCAGCACAGATGCCCACAGCTCGAATGTCCCCTTAGCCTGCGCTCCTGCACTTGTCATGGGTCCCTTGGGCCATATGCTGATCCATTTCTGAACTGCTTGAGGAAGGTGAAATGGGGGATTGGTGATGTTCCCACGGTGCTAGATCTCTAGCTCATCTTGGACCCAGCCACCCCAGGGCCTTTGTGCATGCTGTTCTCTCTGCCTACCACACTTCTCTGTGCTTCCCCTGACTAGTGGCCACTGACCCTTTAGCTCCCAGCTTTTCCCAGCCCTCTGTGGAGTCATTCGAAACCACCTTACTGTGTGCCCAGCCCTCTTGTAGATAATGAGGCTGTGTTTCTTGCAGCATTTGAGGACACAGGACAGCAAAGACCCCAAGTATCAGTTTGACACATGTCCTCTGGGATTCCCATGGCCCCCAGTACCCCAAGGCCACATTGAGAAGTGGGTGGGAGACTCTGTGGCTTAGGCCTGGAGGAGATGAACTTGCCTTTAGCCTCTGTTCCAATGCCCAGACGTCATTCACAGGGCCACACAGTAGACGGGAGGGTAATGAGTGCTCCGAGTGGGAGCCGTGTTTCCAAGGGGACAAGGACAAGTTTGAGAACCATCATCTTCTGGCATCTATCTGGTATCTGCTTTTCCCACGTAGTCCTCCACATCCCATCTCAGTACAGGGGCAGAGGGGAAGTTTTGTCATCTGCACAGCGTTCAGTTAACTTGTCTTTGGAAACCAAGGCAGCCGCGCCCATGTCAGTGTGCGTGCGTACTAAGAATAAAATCACATCTGTGCTTACCGCCGGAAATGCAGTAACGCGTTGGATAGGGCACCAACCTGGGTTTGGAGTCAGACACAGCGGGGAGGTCAGAGGACAAGCTGCCACCGCCCGAGAAGCCAGGCAGAGACATCGGGGGATGGAGTTCCATTGTGTTCAGTGCCTTTTCAGAGACAAGGAGATGGGTGGGGTTGTTTCAGCTCCGAGAGTCTTTTCTGGACAATTGAAGTGACGTGCAGGGGTCCAGAGAAAGTCTCCTGAGACAGAGAGCAGGTGTGTGACACCGTGGTATTCCCAGCACCCGGCCCGGCACTTGCTCAGATCCACGTGTGGAGAGAGCAGATGCTGGCTGAGGGAGTCAGGGCAGGGCGCTAACGAAGGTGGTGTCCTCACTGAAGACGCGTGGGAAGGAAAACGCAGGAGAGTAGAATCCCCGCCGCCTCAGCCTCTCCTGTACTCCCCCAGCTTGGTGGCTGTGGCACAGATGCTTCTGTTTCTTGACTACACCACACATCACTAGCTCGCTGTGGGCCATTTTATGAAACGGAGGCTGTGCCAGTCTAAGTGCTCAGATGAGCCCGGGGGAAAGGAAGTTTATGGCCCTGCCATCGAGGGTCCAGATGGCTGGGAAGCTCCTCCAAGAAAAAGCAGGCGTTGGAACCCTCCTGGAGCCCATCTTCAGCAGCAGATGGCCGAGAACCAGGCAGGGAAGTCAGCCACCCACCCCTACCCCAGCCGGGTGACACCCATGAAGAGTTTATGGAAAGAGACTGCAACTGACAGGTTGTCCCAGGTGTCTGAGCTTTTATTTTTTACTAAATGAACCAACCATTTTTCAAATGTCTTTGCTGCCTTCTTACAACTTAATAAGGCATCTAATAATGTCCGTAAAGTCTGATTTCTGCTGTCCTGTTAATCAGCAACACGGGCCCATCCTAATGACTTTCTCGAGAAAGTGTTCTCACTGAAAACCTCCAGGTGTGACTGCACCCTTGATTTAACTTAGAATTATGTTTTCTTCCTTTTCAAATCTATCTCCACTCTACAATAAAGGCTTTCTCCAAAGGAAACAGCAGTGTTTTTGCCAAGTTAGCGATGGGATACCTATGTGCGAGCGCGGGCTGTTGTCCACCGACGACATCTTCGGTCCTCGTGGATTTCATGAATTTATCACTTTGACTTCAGAGCATTCCTGTGTTAAGTCAAATGGAAGACACAGAAGACAGCGATGAGGAAGGCAGGTGGACCGGGGAGCATTGCTATAACCCTGGGCACGCAGCCCAGAGAGAACGCGGCCCATGCGATGCAGTACACAGTTCTCAGGCGGAAGATTTCGGTCTGTGCACCACGGCTCTTAGAGGGTTTACCAAACACCTGCGTAGGATTTTTCAGGGCCGGAAGTGATCACCTAAGCCACGCCTTCCCCACCCTGAGATACAGGGGAAGACCAACTCTCACTATTTCCCCAAACCGAATGTGAACATGGGCAGATCTGAAACCATAAACAGCATTTCCTCTTCTGAGTGTTCATCTCATGCTGTCTCTGCCCCTTCCTTCCTTTCAGTACAAAGGCTCCCATTCTTTCGCTCACTGGAAAGAATCCATGTGCTCCTGAAAATATTCCTTGCCCAACCTGAGAACTCCGTATTTATCCCCGGTCCTACTCTGAGCTCAGCCACAGTGCAGGCCGTAGCCCAAGCTTGGCAAACAGGACAGACCACCAAGGCCCAGGCCCGGCCCTCCCAGCCCCATACCCCGTTCTCCTAGCGACTCTGGTTTTGGCTTCAGGGGAACTATAATGCTGCTTTTGGGTTCAGCTCAGATTCGTGACTTGAATTTATGATTTTTATTTTGAGTTGCCACTTGTAAGATCTTGTAGACTTAGGTGTTTGGATGGAAAACATTTGTACCTATAACAAAATCTCTTTTGACCTTTGCAGATCCCCAGTTGAATCAGCCAGTTACTGGCACTGAGTGTGCAAGGCGTAAGAATATTCATTCAGCTCCTTGGCACGCTTGAGGGAAAGTCCCTGAGGCAGGCTTCAAAGCCACTGGGCCCTGATGAACAAGACAAGGAGAATTAAACAACCTTCTGGCCCTCACCTTGTTGAAAGGATGAATTTTGTGTTCATTTTGCAGCCTAAAAATGTTAATTATGGACCTGGTTGAGCATGCTAATTTTCTCTCTTGTTGCCGATATAGATGTGAGAACAAAAATAGATTCTGCAACACCAAGTAACTAGAGTTGGTTTTAATAACCCAGTGTGAGGTCCTGAATGAGACCGGTACGTTCTCTATTCACCTGCTTTGTTTTGCTTTTTTTGTCTTACAGAAATTTTTCGATCTGGAAAGAGAGAATGCTTGCGCAACAAAGGAACAAAAGAATCTCACCTTTCTGAAGCTAAACCGTAACAAGTACATGGTGACAGATGGAGCCGCCTATATTGGTAGGTGCTGGGGTCACTGGGCAGCAGGGTCCTGGCTGTGCTCAGCAGCCCCTTGGGAGCCCTGGCTGGCACCTGGGGACCCAGTGAGGAAATACCAGGGTGAACGCTCCTCAGCCACGTGTCCTGTGTGGCCTGGTCTGTGTCCTCAGAGATGTTCTGTAGACCTCTCTGGTCCAAGGCCAGGAGACCCCTGGCTTGTCAGAGGGACGTTCTGGCACGAGGCCCGTGCTCCTACCCGTCATAGCCAGTCTGCCACCAGCCGTAGGGACACAGGCCCTGGAGCTGTTCAATGCCAGAACTTATGCTATCTGACAGTAATTTCATCCCCACCATTTTCTAAACATCTGAGTTTGGACTCTTTAAACCTCAGTTTTCTCATCTGTATAATGGGGCTAATGACATTTCCCTCTTCACTGGGTGAAGTTTAAGTGAGATAATACATGCAAAGTACTTGTCACATAGACAAAGCTGCTATTTTTAATTTCATAATGTTCCAGATACAGAAATCATTATATTGGTAGAATTCTTTCCTAATGTATCGAGTGTATTCAAATATTCCACGATATGTATGAGTCCAAGGTGAACCCTTAGCTAGAACCATCACCGGTAGAGTTGAAATTATCTAGTTTTAAAGAGGTCACAGAAACCACAACCTGGCAGTGCAGTTGCTGTGTTGTGCAGAAAAACAATCGGTCTCAAAGGAGAGAAGTGTGGACTGTAAGAATACAGGATCCATATCAACTGTTTTTCCTAAAATCAGAGGGTGAATACAAAATTCAGCATCTTCACGTTGTAAAGCACTTCATCTCATTTGACACTCTTAGCAACATGCCGTAAAGAGGGTAGTGTTTACTCATCTACAGATGAGAAATGAAGACACTGGGCCGGTGGACAAAAAGCGAGGCAGCAGCCTGCAGGGAGAGGGGAGGCGGGGGGCTGGAGGCCACCACACAGACCCTGCCAGGGACCTGCAAGGACTTCCCGACTCCCTGCTTACGGCGCAGATATTCTGCCCTCTTCCATGCTAATCGTTACGGCATCACTTTATTAAAACAGAGTATTAGAATATTTTTTGGTACCTGGAGTCAAACTCAGGGCCTTGCACTTGCCAGGCAGGCACAGCACCACTGAGCTACATGCCCGGCTATTAGAATATTTTTAAATGGTGACATTTTGGCTGTCCTGGTATGTAAACATATTATTTTATTCTTGTTGTCCCTCTTATGGGATTCATATGTGGTTATTTGGATTTTCTCATATTTATCAGCTTTTTTATGGAAGATAAAATGAAATCAGTTTCTTTTTAAGCAAGTGACCAAAAATTCCCAAAATTATTTACTTAAAAAAAAACTGGAACTTTGGACTCAGTTATTAGGAAACCTAGGGATGGATGAAGGTTCAGGCTTAGTAGATTTAGAAATTCAAATCTAGGGCTGGGGATTTACCTCAGGGGCACCGTGCCTACCTTACAAGCACAAGGTTCTGAGTTCGATTCCTGGTACTGCAAACCAAAAAAGAAAGAGAGAAGAAATTCAAATCCAGGTATTTTACTTGTGGGGTTTGCATTCGGTAGTAACTTGACTAATAATCTCACTGTTCATTGATGAAATAAATAAGTGTTTTATAATCAGACAACAACCTGCATGTGAATACCAGCACTGACACTCACAAGCTGAAAGATGGTAGGAAGTCATATAATATCTAGTAAGCCTCTGTCTCTTTATCTGTAAAATGGGGATAACAGCACCCACTCATTGGCAGTGATATGAAAATTAAATGACGTAATATATAAATAGCTCCAAACACTGTCTCTGAGCTATCTAGATCCTTAGTAAACACTGAATTTTTTGCTTCTTCTCTTCTGCCGAATCTAAGGCATCTTTAGGTGAGTTCATTTTACCACCAACATTTTGGCAAAACACTCATTTCCTGGTGTGCACCCTAGTTCTAGTATTAAAATATTCAAGGAGCATCAAGTGACAGAATTCGTTGATAACTTAAATCATTGTCAGCCTGTTCTGGAAACCTCCTAAGTCACCATTCAGACACTTGGTGAGAATGCAGAAGTAAGAAAGACAGTGGGGCCTTGCGTGGAATTACAGCTCCATCAAGTTTTCTCAAGACTTCAGAGGAGCCCCGGAGTGGCGCCATCTTCTGGATGTGAGTGGAGCTCCGCAGACTTGTCTGGAAGGTGTGGAATTCACACTGGGCTGGCATGGGAGTGTGGGTCAACTGAGGCCATCTAAAGGCTCCTGCTGGCCGGACGCCTCCCGGGGGAGCTCACGTGCACCCTGGATGCTGCTTTCCCAAGGGCAACGCTGCATTACTGGCCACCAGGTCCTCAGAGTGGGCTTTTGGAAGCAGAAATGGCAGCCTCGGAAAAAGATTGGTGAAGCTGCAACCTAATTATATATATACCGAAGCAGGAAGTAAAAGGTAGAAAGACATAATCACACTGGTGTAGGAATTCTTCTGTCAGCCTGTGAGAGCTTCCTGGAGCTCTAATTCCCAAGAAGAACATACTTAAAACATTGGCGGATCAGTGAAGATGGTGGATCTTGGCTCCATCCATAGTATAAAAAGGAAAGGGGCACATTCATGGAATAAGGGTTCAGAATCTTTCCACCACCTTAGTTCCCTCTGCGCATGCTGCCCCCACAGTACTGCCCTTTTGAGAGCCATCTGCCAATGAACGGAGCAAAATATCTCAGTGTGGCTGTGTCCCCCAACCCTGGGCAGCCACACAATGGACTCTTTTAGGGTCAGAGATGGCCTGGATAGAAGTGCAGACTGTAGAGTTAGACTTGGCTTTTAACCTCGGCTGTGCTACTCTGCTACTCTTGCCTTGAGCAAATTCCCTTCTGTGCCTTGAGTTGCTCACTAGTACAGCGGAGTTCGTTTTTCACCAGGTAGGACTGAAGTGAATACGGAAGGGGTCAGTGTGATATGATTGCTTTTTATTGTGCTTGCAACCATGCCACAGGAGGCCCTGCATGGAATTACCACTGTAGGGATGAGATTGTACTAGTGTCTCATCTAAAAGTCTATGAAAGTCATGCAGGACCACAGAAGCCTTTTGCTTAGGAAATGAAAAAAGCATCACTGTCGCCGGCAGGTTTCTGGGTAGCTCTGCATCCCCGGTTTAGAGACCCAAGGAACCGTGGCCTCTGAGCATGGCCAGGTGTCTAAGAGCAAAAGTCGGGAACACAGCGTTGGCAGAGGAGGCCTCTGTGCAGTCTCTGACATGATCTTATGTACCGTGAGTGGGACGGTGAGCCAATCTTTAGCACTCTTCCTCCAAGAGTACATCCCTCACGAAACCACTGACAGCACCCTTGTGGCGTTTGTCAGGCAGCGGGTAATGAGTTAGGACTGGGAGTGGGGAGCAGATTCTTGACTAAGCTCCTTTTGGTATCTTAGGCTGTGAGGAATGGACTTAAGGAGTAAAGGGGAGGACAAAGGAAACCGCTTGCGGTATTGCATTGGGTGCTTGGTGGAGTGGAGGGCTGGCCAGGGGCTCCAGACAGCAGAGCGAGGATGAAAGAGTGAAACTATAACGGGTCAGGCACTGGCTCTGCCTACCGCTGTGCCTTCTCTGGGCACTTCTCCCACGGATGGCCCCGTGGCACTGGGTCACGGACGCCCAGGGACCGTGATCTTGCTTCTGTAGGGAGCTCTGACTGGCCACCGTGGAAATGAGAACCTGGGGTGGGCACTGAGAAAGCCATCAGCTTCCTTCCTTCCTGGAACCAGCTCTTAACCAAACAGGCGCTTCCCTCAGACCTGAGCCAGTGGTCACTATACACTCAGTTCTCGGTTTGTGATACCGTGGGTTACTCGTGCAGGCTGGAGACACAGGTGCACCGTTCACTGGCCATGAGACAGTGGGCAGATTTCTTCAGCTGTTTGAGCCGCCCATCCCAGTCATTACAGTGGAGGTAAATCAAACTGATTACGTGAAATGTGCACAAATACCAAGTACAGAGCTCTGCTTGTAGTAAGCAGTTGACACTTGACAGCCCTCTGCCCTCAGATTCCCTTAGATCCTGACCTCACGATCAGCTTCCCCAATGCCGTCACCATTTTTCTGTGCACAAGATGCTGTCCTCCCTCTGGGGCGTGACTTTCTCTCGTCCTAATTAAATTTCAATGCACCGCCCATCACTCAGTGAAATGTTCCTTTCCTGACACACCGGGCACAGTTAGAAATCACTTTTCTGCTGTACTCTTGACATCGTGTGCATACTTCTCTTGTACTATTGCACACTCTCTGTACAATCCTTACTGAAGGCAGGGGCTGTAATCTTCAGTCTTATATTCATTGCTCCTAACAATATAGTACCTGGTAGACATTCAGCACTCAATCAATATGCATTAAACGAGGGACAGAAAAGACCACAGAAATAAGTGGTATGGTCCTCTGGAGTGGAGAAACCTTTGTTCTGCTGAAACCCTCTCCCTGCTGGATACCAAAGAGAGATTCACGCAGGAGTTTTGGGTTGCCCAGCCTGTGGATCTGCCTGCCTCAAAGGAGGACTACACAGGAGTAGCACAGAGATTATAAACTCTTGTGAGGCTGATCACAGTCTTGCTACCTAGAGTGAGCTGAACTGTGTCCCCTCAAAATTTTCAAGTTGAATTCCTAAGCCCCAGTACCTCAGAATACAACCTTATTTGGAAATACGGTCTTTACAGAGTTACTCAATTTTAAATGATACCTTTAAGGTGGCCATTAACCTAATATGACCAGTATCTTTCTGAAAGAGGGTATTTGCCAGGCATGGTGGCATATGCCTCTAATCCCAGCTACTCAGAAGGCTGAGGCAGGAAGATCACATGTTCAAGCCATCCTGGGCAGCTCAAATCCAATCCAATAAACCGGGTTGGGGATGAAGCTGAGTGGTAGAGCACTTGTCTGGCATGGCTGAAGCCCTGAGTTCATCCCCAGCACTGCATACATAAATGAAAAATTAAATATACAACTAAGTGGGGCGATTCGGACACCAAAATGAATAGCGGGAAGACAATGTGAAGGGGCCAAAGGAGGACACAGAAACCTAAAGTCAAAGGGGGAGAGGCTTGGAACGGGTCCTTCAGCTCTCAGGAGGAGCCCGTCTTGCAGACACGTTGGTTTTGTTTCCGGAAGTGTGAGAGAACCTCTTTCTGTCATTTAAAGCCCTCAATTTGTGGGACTTTGAGAGAGCGGGACTGGAAGCCTGGGCCCTCTATGGTGAGCTGGTGCTCAGGGCGCCTGCTTGGACTCCTGGGCGCGCCCAGTCCTGGGGTCCTCATGGCCCAAGCCGCGCATGTGCATGAAGTGGGACGGCTCTGCTTCCGCCTTCCCTGTGACGGGACGGGACGGCCTCTCGGCATTCTGATGCGTTTGTACGTGTGGATGTGACGTCTGTTTGAGAAGGTAGTAATTGTTCACAAGATTTTTAAGTGTATTCCTATATGTTTTAAATGTTGCTGTATTTAGTGTGTCTTGTGAACATCAATAAGAAATAACATTGACAAAAAAGAACAGCAGATTCCTTGTTTTGAGTTTCAACTTGAGCAAAGCTGAAGAAAATGCCAAAATAATATGCAAATATTAATGTGCCATATGTAAGGCTTCTTGAGGGTTTTTTTTTTTCCGAGCTGTCAACACAATTCCGGCTCCCTGTCATTATTCCTGAGTGTTTTTGATTTTTTAAATAGAACCCACTCCGTATTTCACGATGTCAGGAACGTTCCCAGTGGATCCTCACCGTCGTGTCTTTGTTTGTTGACAGGAAATTTTGATTGGGTAGGGAATGATTTTACCCAGAATGCCGGCACAGGCCTCGTCATCAACCAGGCAGACGTGAGGGACAACAGAAGCATCATCAAGCAACTAAAAGATGTGTTCGAGAGGGACTGGTATTCACCTTATGCCAAAACCTTACAGCCCACCAAGCAGCCCAACTGCTCCGGCCTGTTCAAACCCAGAGCCCAAGCAAACAAAAGTGCTGCGGACGCCCAGCGCGATGAGATGAACTGATCGTCGGCATTCATTTCCCGTTTATACACCAAGGACTTGAGGAGAGAAAAACAATTTAATATGTCTTTTTTAGGAGAAAAAAAAGCACACATTTAAAAAATTGAACGACATGTAATATCTCTAGCTAACAATATCTACGCGCCTTGAACTGGTAATTTAGGACTTTTGTATTTGTTACTTCTGACGGAGAATGTCATTCTGGCTTAGAAGTTCGTTTTTATGTTTGCATACAAAACTTAAGACTTTGATTCCCATTTCCTGTTCCTTTCTGGTTTTAGAGCCCTTTCTGCTGACTACTGTTCCGTTCCTAGGAAGCTTAGCATGAGGTGAGCTCTTTTCCTTAACACCACTCTGAGCACTGCTGACTGGGAGAGGAAGGTGAGGATTTCACCTGGAAAAGACACAGATGAAACCAAGGATTTGCCTTTGTAAACCATTTCCAAGACCTATTGAATCCCCTAAATATCCATAGCTTAAACTGATGCCACCCTTCGACACTCTGGAAAAATACCCTTTTTGTGTGTCCTTCAGCATTCTTAATATCATAGGTTTTATTTTATCAGTTTATCTTCTCGCAAAATGTTCTTATCATAGAGTGGCCCTATATTCACCTCAATATTAGTTCCAAGTGTGGCAACATCTTTTGAAAATGAATGAGTTCCTCAAAATTGATACAAAATGGAAATAACTGTCTTTAATTTTCACCTCTCAACTACATTCTTTCCCCTGCTGAATCAGTTATTTAAAGGCCACAGCCAGCAATCAGTACCTTTTCACTCAAGCTCAGAACAATGATGTAGCCACCTGCTAATATCCAGCAAGCTACCCAGTCTGCATTTTGAGAACAAAGTAGTTTTCCACATTTTTTGTTTAGTTTACAGTATTATAAAGGAAAGGTCTTTATGCGTGAGTGGATTTAAATTTCTTTAGAATCATTATGTTGTTAAGAGTATGCCAGCAAATGTTTATAGAGCTATTTAATATACCTTCTGCTATTTAATATACCAAATGCTTTTCAGAGAAATGCAATTTAAATACTGTGCTTAACATATTTTACTAAGAAACAAAATATTCGATTACTGTTCTATAACGTCATTGTGTGTTGTTTTATATCTATACAGTATATAACCGTGTGTTAATAGAGACTGTTGCTACATAAGACCCCAAGCAGGTGGCCAGGACACCCACACCCAGTGTGGCTCCTGATGGTAAGGCTCAGAACAGAGCCTACACCCCTTGCCCTGGGGTTTCTATCACTAATGTAGAGACAGTAATACTCACCTACCTCGCAAGGATGTTGTCATGGTAGGAGATATTTATAACTTGTTTTGAAATCAAAAGAACCTATATAAATGCTAAGCATTATAATGTTTAATCCTTTTCTTGAAATAATCTCTGTGGTAACTGGATAGAGTCAAGGCCAAGTCCTCCTCAAGAACCCAGAAGGGAAAACAAATCCACAGCTTCCTGTTGCAAACATGGATGACAGCCATGCAACGACACAAAGCCCCTGGTGGAGACCTGGCTTGTCAACAGCTGGGCAGAACTCTCTTGTTGGGTCCCTTTGGCATAAATAATATCAGCACACAACAAGGCATTGTGCTAGGGGTCATTCTTTAGAACCAACATATTGAGATGTTTTCAGAGCAAGGACAAAATCTGTTTCAATCCTTGCTTTTCATCTCTAGAAACTTGATTTAGTGAAGAAAGGCGATGCAGGAAGCTTGGAAGCTTTGCCTAGTGGGGTTGCAGGTACCATGGCTGTTGTTGGTTAACTAGTGGTCCCATTGCTTCCTTTCTGTTTCCAGGTATTGCTTCACTGGATCCTTAACCAGTCAGTCCGGAGAGCTGGAGAAAGCTGTACGGTTAAGGGTAGCATGTTTTTATGGCTTTGGGGTGATTCTCAATGGAACTTTTCATCAGTAACGGCCATCACCCAAGACTCTAAATGCGCCCATATGCATAGTCCTTGTTTGAGTAAGGACTTATCCTCCAGTCCTCTGGTAATGGTGGCTTCCGTGATGGTTTTAGAAAGAAAGAGCAGAGTGTAGACAAGTGAACCTACCAAGTTCACAAACAAAAAGTTTGGATTTGAAAAAGAACATCTAAAGGGAAAGAAAATAGTTACTTCCTTGTTGATTCCTAGGTTGTCTGCTAGAGTACTGGTCCACAGCCAAGTGCGGGCCTAGAGAAGTGGTCTATACTTTTTTATTCATGTGGTAGGAGAAGAGGATGTCATCTTTTAGGAAATGATTATAGTTCCTCTTTTCTTTCTGAGGCCCATCAAGTGGTGTTTCTGCCAGGCGCCAGCAGCTTCAGGGCTCTGCGGGATGGCAACATTCCTCCCCAGGGGCATGAGGGTGGCAGAGACAATACTGGCCTTCTGCAGCAGTCAGGAAAATGGCCCCTGTCCTGGGAACATCATAGATGAGTCTGTGTCTCCCAAGAGAGCATTCTATTCTGTAGAATTTTCTCCTTCATGTGAATGCTGTTTCCCCTCCAGAGGTGGCCTTCTTCTCTTTGTGTCTGTGCTAAATAGATTGCTTACTTCCATCCCTCCCGCTCCCAAACATCCCAGGAAATATTTCTCAAGAGGAAAAGAGCATAAAACAAAAACATTTTAATTTAAGATTATCAGGTAGATGTCCATGCCAGGGATTATAAGGAGGGTGACGAATACTTTTTTTTTTTCCTCCATAAACATCTCAGAAGTTATTTTCTAGGGGGAGGAAAAAGAAAACCAAATACAATTTGAGACCAAACCATATTTTGGATTCCTCCGTCACTAACACTAATCGAGTGCCTTACTCATTCTGAAGTATTGGTTTTAAACAATGGTTTACTATGTGAGGACACTTCTTACTCCGGAGTCTAAGATGACCTTCTGCTGGGCCAGCCTATTGAAAATTTAGGCACGAGCATCAACAGTTTTTTGTTTGTTTGCTTGTTTGTTGTTTGTTTTTGGTACCGGGATCGAACTCAGTCCTTGCGCTTACAAGGCAGGCGGTGGCACCACCGAGCTAAATCCCCGGCCCAAGCATCAACAGTTTGTATGTAGCCTGCTTCCTTCCCACCCCAAAGAATGTATCTCCCTGAAATCAAATCACTGAAATACATTGCCAAATATCAATATTGTTAGCCTCCGTTGCACTCACTGGCCACTGGTGTATCGCAGACTCAGATCACGGCTTAGCAGACCATGGGAGAGGACAGAGAGCCTTCTGAGTGTCTACCTGTGTTCTGTAAGCACCGCATGGTGGGTACCTGGAAATGGCAGAAGGGAGGCACACTGAAAATGTCCCTTCAAGGAAACTTGTAAAGGGAAATGCCATAGACTCCATAGGTCCTGTGGAATATATGTTAAATGAAAGCTAATGTCTTTAAAAAGTCAAAGTAGGGCCAGGGATTTAGCTCAGTGGTGCCGCTGCCTGCCTGGCCAGTGCAAGGTCCCAAGTTCAATCCCGGTACCAAAAAGAAAAAGTCAAAGTAGGCTCATTTCAAGGAATAAAAGGTCTGTGGAAGGAAACCCTTGGCACTGGGTAGCTTTGAGCACCATTTTCCCCCAACTCTGTGCGGTGGTTCATCTCAGGTCTGCTTTGGTTCTTAGTGAGTTGGGGGGGTCTCATTTGGGGCTGATCTTACCCTTTAAAAATGTGTTTTGTTAATGTGTTACTGGCTTGTTAAGAGTGCCTCGATGAGCCCAGGACTCCCAGAAGCTCGTTTCCCACCAGCCTATGGCTATTCTCATGTGACTTCGATTCATTCTGAGAGTTCTGTTCGTTTGTAGAAACTTTTACTGAACTAAATTCCAGGAGGAAACTAAAAGACTATAAGAATTTCTTGATAGAAACAGATCCAAGATCCGTCTGTCTCAGGAATTCTATCCTAGAACCTGCTCCCCCCACCCCATACATATGACCATTTTTATGTGTTTCTTGATCCAAAATACATTGTATTATTTCTAACATTTAAGGAATGTGAAAAGCTGCCTTTATCTACACTAGAACAGTCAGCTCCTATTACTATTGGATATTCAAATTCAGTACCTATACATAGCTTCATCTATTCTGGATATCAATTCTTTATCCTCCAGAACTTCTTTTCAAAATACTGGTGCAATTTATTATAAACCCTTGAAAGGAGAAACTCATATAACTCTCCTTTGGCCCAGAATAGATTGGATGAGGTAATCCACATTCAAACATTTTCCTATTTACTGGAAACTGACTTCTTTCCTTTTCTTTTTATATGTTGTTAACCCAATAGCTGCTTACTATTTTTACCTTGCTGGCTTTAATCAGTGTTGGATTTTCACTAGCACTGAAGTCAACTCCATTTAGGCTTTGTATGGTGACTAGATAGGTATTCTTCAGAAGTTTCTTAAACTTGTAAAAACTTACTTTTCTTATTTTCGACCCAGTCTTGTACTTATGGAATTATAAAAGATCACAGATCACAGATCACTTAGATATCTTTTGGGACTCTGACTAAAAAGAAATGTGAAATTTAACAGTCCATCATGTATTTTTCTTTTTCTGTGTCTAACTACTAACCTTCTAATTCTGTTGCAAAGGATCTCTTGGAATTTTTAATGTACCTTTATATAAGTAGGATAAACATTCACTGCACATATCTATATTATTAACATTCAGATTCCTAAATAATTTGGTGTGATATAGGGAAGAATTTGTAGGGAATCATTAAAATGATCAAATCTTTCCTATAACCAAATGCTCAATTATTTTCAGAAGTAAATTTATATGGCTTTTTCATACTGTGAGATGAAGTATTTCTTTTTCCCCTCAGCTTGGTCTCAGAAACGAACTTGCTTCCCTGCTAGTATAGTTAACAAAGTAAATGTAGCTGACCCAACAGGCTATGGGCCCACTGTTTTATATAGTCACTCAACAGGCACTTTGTAAAGCTACTCCTATCCCTCTATAAAGTTTGTTCCTAGTATTGATTTGGATCAAATAAGTCATCTTTCTTAGTGAAGAAACAATTATGGAACCAGGAGCTACACTGTGGTCTTTTGACAGAAAAAGTGTTTGTGGATACAAGGTCAGATGCCTCTTGTATCCACTGCTCTCTGATCGAGACATAAATCCATGATCAAAGACACTTATGTCTTCTCAGCAAATCCATTTGGTTGGTATATTTTTACAGTGCTGGGCATCAAACCCAGAGCCTCCTAGGCAAATGCATACCAGTAAATTACACCCCCAGGGGCTGGGTACTTAGCTCACTGGTGCTTATATATGTATGTATATATACCCTGAGGCCCCAACAAACTCATTCTGAATCTGAAATTCAGAGCTTACCTTGAAAAACATCTACAACTCCTTCAAAGGTACAGATTCCCTTTTCATTTGGCCACTCAGGAGTTGAGGATCTACTCAAGCTCATTTGGATGGAGTTGCACTGCCTTCTGTAGGGCCCACATGCGATAATGTTTGGTTGATTTGCTGCAATATTTGGATTTTGGGGAAGGGTACCAGGGATTGAACTTGGGTCCTTGCACTTGCAAGGCAGGCCACCGAACCACTGAGCTAAATCCCCGGCCCTGCAGTATTTGGATTTGAGGCAAAGACTGATCTCTGAAAGAATATGCATTGTATGTACATGTGCTTATACCCTGTTTGGAAAGAGAAGAAATCTGCAGAGGAGGACTTTTTCTTTAAAGCTGTCATTTAAGGGTTTAGCAAAGATTTAATAAAGTGAACTTTCTGAATCTGCAATAGTCAATCATTGGATTTAATTGGCAGTTTCTGAGTCTTATAATTTCATGTTTTTAATTGGATTAATAATAAATTTTATGAGATAATCATGTACAAGGGGTCCAATTAAATCATAGCAAAGGTGAAAATTATTTGTGATTTATTTTTACTTCCCATGACAAGCTAATTACTAAGGAGAAAAGTTTTTTTTTTGTAAAGTGTACATTTGGCTCTCAAATTCATTCCCCTGGGCCTCAGACACTTTGAAAAATGAATTCCCTTACAGACTCTCCTGTTTTCCATCATGGGTTGAAAGTTCTGAGGAATTCTGAGCTCCTTGAAAGACACAAATGCAGACAAACCCAGTTTCTACTTTAGAGTGTTCTCACAAAGGTGCGCAACTGATCTTGGGAAAATGACCTCATTTTCCAAGAGTCAAAATATTGAAATTGTATGTGACTTTCCAACTGAAATGAAGGATGAAGATCTTTAAAGACAACTCAAAAAATATGATCCAGCAACATTCATAGGGATCAGAGATAGAATATTTTATGATTTCATTTACTTTTACTTAAAAGTGAAGATTATCTACTTCTTTCTGAAAGGCAACATCCAAAAACATAATAAAAGACAGACAGCACCATAGTTTCAGAAAAGTATTGATAGAGCACATTGGAAATCCTGTGTGGCAAAGTGTCCTTGAGGGGAAAAAAAAACGAGTTTTGTCCCGAGCAATAAAATGATATGTTATTATCCATACCTCATGGGTGGACTGTGGTTTTCCTAGTGTCCAGGAGAGATCATGCCCGTGCCTCCTGTACAAGCAGATCATGTTTCTTATCATATGAGCTGTCCATACTGGTCAGTTAATTATATCAGGGTTCAAGACCTGAGTCCAAGTGACTCCTTTTCTGGTTATGGGGTAGCTTAAGGGAAGAAAACAAACCCAGAAATACTTGGCTCAACCCATTTGAGTCTGAATATGAGAGATAGAAAATAAATGAGTAACAGCAAGAGCAACCAAGATAGACGCACTCACCATAATGTTGCCACCTTGAAGCAGGGATGGAAATGACTTTTGCTTCCAAGTGTAGAGGTCTTTTTGATTCACCGTTTCTGCTTTTGGGTTACTGGAGACGTGACTGATTCCTGAACAATGAGTCTGGACTTTGTAGTTACTTGGTTGCTTTCTTATCTTCCTTACTTTCATATGGATTGACATAAATAAACTCCCATTAACTGAGACTGATTTGTGTTTGTTCTTTACAGTCTAGAGATGCTGATCTAACAACAACTCAGTGAAGTGAAAGTTGTCCTCTCTTTTAAGTAGCTTGGAAGTAAAAGAAGAAGGAAGACAAACACTGTAATACACCCTGTGTTATAATTGTATCAAGACTGTGCTCCAAAACTCTCATGCGCTCAGAGGTGGGGCTTTTAGAAGGTGACTGAGTGCTGTACTCATCAGTGGTCCTTTCACTACTGAGTTCAGCTGTTAGAAAGTGGAGCCTAACTAGAGAGGGTCACTAGGGACGTGAGCTGGAAGGGTTCATCTCCCTCCCTAGCTGCTCCTTTCTCTGCTCCCTGGCCACCATGACTTGAGCAGCTTCTCACCAGACCCTCCCACCCTGTCCTTCTCTACCTTGGAGCCAGCCAACCACAGGCTAAAACCTCTGAAAACTAGAGCTAAAAGGAACCTCTCATTCTGTAAGTTGTGGGCAACGGCGATTGTGCCTCAGTGGTGAGGAAAGTGACTCACATCTAAGCATGAGTGTCTCCACGGTGCTCCGCACAGATTGTTAAATATCAGATCAATAGCCCTGTCCTGTGCTAGACTCAGAAAGGCGACTCAGAAGCATTGAGCAGAGAAATAAAGTGTGTACACACACACATGCACACACTCATTTAGGAAATAACTACATGATACATGCAGACATTGTTGGAGAGAGTAGAGAAATTAGAAGTCTGGAAGCCCAGACCCAGTATTTCTCTGCAGGAGGAAAATGAAACATAGAACACACACTGAGTTAATAAAGACAGCTGTGTTATATATTTAGATAATGTTTTAAATATACTTTCTAATGATTGACTTAATAATTGCAAAAGTTGCTAAGAATATGCTGAATACTTGGTGTGAACAAGTAGTTGATAGGGATTTGTGGAAGACAGAGGTGAGACCACCCCTGAGAGGCCTGACAAGGAGATGGGTCTTTGAGATACCACAGGAGGAGTGGAAAGAAGTGTAAGTGGGGTCAAGACAAATTTAGCTTGGCTTTGCCAGCAACTCAATTTGAATAGAAGTTGGTAATATTATTTTAAAATAATAATTTATAATTATGTGTTTTAATATGTAGCCCTTCATGAACCATCATCCAAAAGTGAAAAGAATTCCACAGACTACCATTTAATTTATGAGTTAAAAGCAAATTTCAGGGCCAGGAATTTAGCTCAGTGGTTCCACCGCCTCCTTCACAAGCACAAGGACCTCAGTTCGATCCCCAGTATCAAATAAATAAACGAAAGCAAATTCCAAGTAGGGTGTGGTGGCGCACGCCTGTAACCCCAACACTGGGGAAGCTGAGGCAGGAGGATCACCAGAAGTTCAAGGGCAGCCTCAGCTACATAGTGAGTTCAAGGCCAGCCTGGAATATAGAACAAGACCCTGTCTCAAAACAAATGAAGAAGCAAATTCTGTATTTGGAAGTTTGTCACTTAGTTCATTGAGAGTTCTTTATACAAAAAGGAGGCACAAGAGAGAATATTTAAGAAGTCTAAGGTATGCTGACCATTGTATATGGCTAAATCATTCCTACATTCATGTAATAGTAACCTAACTCTGCTATGATACAATATGATGGTAAGCCATATGTGTCAATTTGATTAAACTACTGTCCTGCTATTCAAAAATACACTAATCTTGGTGCTGCTCTGAAAACATTTTATGGATGTCTTTAGTGTTAATACTCACTTTTTGAAGTAAGGAGGATTATCCTCAATAATCTGTGTGGGCTTGAACTAATCAATTGAAAGTACTTACGAGCAGAACGTCCTGAAGAGGCTTCCTGAAGAAAACACTGTATCTGTGGACTGAATGTCAGCTCCTGCCTGAGGGTTCCAGCCTGCTCATCCTGACGGATTTCACACTTGTCTAGCAGTTCCCGTAGTCACATACACTGTAGTGGATTGACTGATGGTCAACTTAGATGGGAACTCCCCCTGAACTGAACGAGCATGGTTCTGGGCATGGAAGACCCACCTGAGGTCTGTTGCCAGTGGTATGCTGTTGACTTTCCTGGAGAAGCTTGCTGTGGCTCATACAAATTCAGCTGTGCTCGTCCGAGGAGCTTGGGTCCTTCCTGTCACCAGAGATGGCTGCTGTTCTCTTCCAGGGAGCTCTGGGCTTCACCTTGAGCATCACTTCCTGGCTCCAGTGCAGATCCCTCAGCCTTCTGTCACAAGTTGCCAGTGCAGGCTTTAGTTTCCACCACTGGCCTGATGCAGATCCTTAATATGAACTTGCATGAGACATTGCTGTGGGCTCTGGGCCTCTGGCTAGACCCTTATAGGACATGGCCATGGGACCCAAGCCCTCTGCTGGATTCTTCGGGTCTCTAGTACATGGACAGCATTTGACTTTTTGGATGAATATTATAAAACACTCCTATAAATTTATGTGTCCTGTATCAAATCTATTTCCTTGCAAACCGATAACTATCACATATGCCAACTCCTTCCAGTGACTCCGTCTCTGTGGGTATAGATGCATATGTATATATACGGGTCTTATTTCTATAATGAAGCCTGGATATAAGCAGCAATAACAAGCAATATCCAAATCCTATTGGCTCAAAGTCATAAAACTTTGTTCACACTACATATTCATCATGGTGCTCTGCTTGTCATCTCATTCAGGGACCCATGGGGACAGAGCAAGTGTCACTGTTACCATGTAAGAGGGGACAGAGTTTGCTGATGGGTCTTATTTCATCCATTAAATTCTCTAAGCAGAAAGTAACTCTTGTCATAATACAATGACCAGAACTGGTCACATGATCTCACCCAGCATAATGCTAGGAAAGAGAATCCTACTGGCATTTCTGAAAAGGTGATGAATCCAAAATATCTAATAGATCTGCATTAATGACTGACACAGCTAACTACAACAACACAAACTTATTGAGGAATTCTCATTTAGAGTGCGGACAAATTCATAAGGACAAAAATCAAGGAATGTTAAAGAATAATAAATGTAAAACTCTATAAATAATATAAAAATTGTTCAGAATGACTTTCTGAAGCAGGACAAAGAGAACTGAAGCACCTAGGCATGGTGGTGTGCACCTGTCATCCCAGCTTCTTGGGAAGTTAGCAAGTTCAAGGATCGAAAGTTTGAGGCCAGCTGAGGCTACAGAGCAAGACCCTGCCTCAGAAACCAAAATGAACTGTCACAGGTTATCTGAATATTTGGTGTCAGTATCACCTGAAAACAAGGAGAAGGCTAAAGTAATCATGAGGCTAAATTAATCATGAATG